GAGCTTATGGTAATAAGTTTAAATTTTGAAGTAACATGGTTTTTCTGATTATCAGTCTTATGTTAAATTGTTTAGTCGGGTATAACAGAGTTAGATCTGCAGCTTGAATCGCGAAATATCTATAGATTATGTTAAGAATGGAACATAGATTTAAGTATTCAGTGGGGTCCTCGCAAGCAAAATCAGGTAGCAGACAATATTTGTAAAATACTTAGTACAGATAAGTGGGGAGGTTTTCTACCCAATTTTTCACTTTTATTGAACAATTGTGGGTAAATAGGTTAGCCAGTTTCAAAACTCACATCAATACGTTTAATTCTTTTGTTTCTTTTTATACATGTATGAGATAACCGGTGCTTTTACACAGTCTTGGTCAGATACGGCTTGTTCCATCTATATATATATATTTTGTTTCCAGAACCATATTTAATCTGTACAGAAAAATACATTTTGATAGTATCGCAATATCCCAGGTCGTTATTATGAACTATTGTGATTAAAAAAACAAAGGCGTAAAGCAAGATGATATCAATGATGTCTTACAGTTACTATCATGAACAAAGATTGTAACAATTGTATTTTTGACTTCTGTATATAATATGCACGTCTCGATGCTGACGTAGTAATGATCTGATCGATACTAATTGTAATTTACGAGGATTGATCAAAAAGTTCTCGGTCCGATGTACTTAGGTAATCAGAGAACCCAACTAATGGTCTTACTTTCCAATAAAATCGCCCTCTACATCAATGCACTGTACCCACCTGTGCTCCAACTTGTTTAACCCTTCAAAATTGAACTCTATTTTGTCTTCAAAGAACACATTTACCGCCTTCATTGCTTCCAAAACGTCTATTACGAAGCTAAGTTTTTCAGTTTCGGAAACAGGTTGAAGCCAGAGGGGGGGGGGGGGCAATTCCGGAGAATATGGGGGATGGGGAAGCATTTCAAACCGCAGTCAGTTTCTTTGGAGGGGTGAGCCGGGGTACTTATAATGCATGCTCTGTTTTTTGGACTCACATTCGAAGTGATGGACCCATGTTTCATCCTGAATTACGATCCGGTAGATAAAATCTGGTTCATTCTCATAGCGAAACAAAAGATTTCTTGATAATGTCAAGTTTGGTCCGTTTCTGGTCGTCATTCAACTGTCTGGGGACCAATCTAGAGGAAACTTTTGACATGCCATAGAAATAAGTCAGAATTGCCTGAACTGAACAAAAGCTTATACACACTTCCCAAGAAATACTTTGCAGGTTTCGCCTTCTGTCGCACATAACCAGATCGTGCACAGCTTCGGCATTTTCATCGTTGGTGACCCCTTTTGGCTGCCCAGGCCGCTCATCATCTCCAATGCTCTCCCTGTCCCTCTTAAATTCAGCAGCCCATTTTTTCACAGTGCTATAAGAAGGTGACTCCTTCCCAAGTGTATCCATGAAGTCTTCCTATTTAGATTTTCTTGCGGGGCACTCCTTTCTTACAAAGGTCCTTAATGACGGCTCTGATATCAACTTTCTCCATTTGGTCTAACTGACACCCCTCTACTGATCAAAGTGTGTTTTATGTTACATAATCTGTGTAAACCTGCGTGTAACTCGGTCAGTAATATTCAGTAAGATATGGGTATCGACTTTATGTGTATATGTCAGTGTAGTGGCTAGAAGTATATCGTGCCGAGAACTTCATACCTCGTATGTCCATTTATATATTTGTAAATAAGAGGGTTAAGGTTAAGATTGTTGTCGGGGTTTCATAAACAGATCAATTAAGGAATCGGGCTACGGTAGTAATAGCAAGAACAATCAAGAGCCTGTTGAACCGGGTGATGCTCCCCGAATAGGTTTTGAACACAGGAAAGTATACCTCTTGTAGTGTCAGAGTTATGTCACAGACAAAGTTCAAAGTGTACAAATGAACAAAGGGCAATAACTCCAAAATAAGGCAAGGCAGAGTTACAATGGTTCTTTTGCAATGCACATCTACCTAATAAAATCTATCTACCTACAAAGTGTCTTATACATATCTATTATACTTGAAGAACTATGTCCTGGACAATGTTCAAAGTGTAAAAATAATCAAAGGGAAAATAACTCCTAAATCAAGCAAGGCAGAGTTAAGGTTCTTTTGCCCTGCACTTCTATTTAATGAGATTAATCTACCTACAAAGTTTCATGTTGATAACGCTTATGGTTTATGGCACTGTTATGATTCTTTTTCATCGCACTTCTATTCAATGAGATCTATCTACCTACAAATTTTCATGTTGATATCTCTTATAGTTTTAGAGTTATGCCCCGACAAAGTTCAAAGTGTACCAATGAGGGGATTCTTTTAGTTCTTATACGCGTGTAAGGGAAATTCTTTTTTAAGATTGATCACCTATCTGTGAATACCCCCAAAAATTGGCCTACATTCATTTCTGTCAGGAGGAGCTACATCGGCTAGTAATCAAGAGTTTGTCACTATGTGTCTTGACCGATACCCTCTATGTGTACCTTAAATATTGAAATCGCAAAAAAACGAAATGTCAAAGTTGAACCATTAGAGACTGGAATTTTAAAGTGCATCAAAATGAGAAAAATACTTATCTGACAAGAACATCTTTAGAAAATGTCCAGGTTGTAGCATTGTATTTTCTGGAAATTGAAAAGTAAAAGGAAATAAGAATTTGTCATGTCTCTTTAATAGTACTATGTAAATACATAAACGTTTATGCTTGTTTAGTGTGAGTTCCTTAAAATTCCTCTTGGGATATTTATAGAATTATTATGATTTATTTTTATAGTTTTACTGCTTTTTGTAATATGCTTCGGCTAGTAATCAAGGAGTTTGTAAAAGAATGTAAAAGCCCAAAAATTTTATTCTCCTCTGTATATTGCATTATATCATAAATTAGTCTTACATGTTCTCCTATAAAATTTCCTTTTATAAATCCTGTTTGGTCATTGGTAATAAAAATCTGGAAACAAAGTGATCCCTCGGAAGCATTAATCACAACAAAATTACATAAGAATTGCAGACTCGGTTTGATTGAGTCTGTACATGAGTTATAATGAATAAGTGCAACATCCCTCACGCCCCCTAGCACAGGCTTGAGCGGTACCCAATTCTCAACACTTAATAGTGCTGGCATCAATGATCCCGAAGGACCAGAAAAATAAAACAGTACGGGGCAACTTTTTACAGCTGCCACACAGCACTTGACACCTGCTGTTGTAAAGTATAAAAATCTGGAAACAAAGTGATCCCTCGGAAGCATTAATCACAACAAAACTACATAAGAATTGCAGACTCGGTTTGATTGAGAGTTTATCTAAATATCATTTAATTCAATTTACTACCCATCCAAAACCAATCTTATAAATTGAATTTAGCAATGTTATCGGTCGCCAATTTTTTAAAAATTGTATAGGCTTATCAAATTTAGGGATACATGTTACTATACCCTGTGTTTGTGTTACAGATAAGTTTCCAGATATAAGAGCATAGTTTAGAGCCCTGCAAATTAATACGCCAATTCTGCTCCAAAACCTTTTATCCAGATCTCCTGAAAAAAACAGATGAGCCTGGACTTTTATTATTTTCATATTCTTTGAAACGGTAGATGCTTCTTCACGTCTGATTTTACCCTCAAGCGATTTTGACTCTGTATTTGATAATGTTGGAATGTTTATATCTTTAACAAACTTTAAAAACTAAATATCTTCTAATTCATGGGAGGTATACGTATATAATGATTCATAAAAATGAGAGGTTTCGTTTAAGATTTCTTCTTGTTTTGTTATTGAAGTACCATAGTTTTCCATGATTTTTGTGATACATTTATTAACATAATGGCTTTTTTTTTCAAGATTACTAAATAATTTACTTGGTTTCTCTCTATCGATTACCCAGTCCACTTACAAATGTAACTTTGAAACTTATTTTCTTGTATAATATTCCATTCGTTATAAAGCTGTTTGAGTTTTACATTATTTTGAATAGTTTCTGATTTTCCTAGCATTTCAATATCTTTTTTGATCTGTATTTCCTTTTCATTACTTGCTTTATCTTATAAGGACAGTATGATATGGAATTACCTCTTCTTACCATTAATAAAGTTTCTAAAAATTACTGATCATTTCTTACAAATTGTATATCCTCGTTCGGAACATTTTCAAGTGTTTCGAAATTATAAACAGGTATGACATATTGTTTTTTAACGTTTTCAATTTTTTTTTTATTTATTTCATTAACATATTGAATATCTCTAAGTAGAAAAAAATTTGTGTTTCCAGACCCCTTTATCATACTGAAAATCATTAAATTTTAATTGTATAATACTGATTGAATGGTCACACTGAAAACTGCATTTCATAAAAACGTTTTTAAAGTATGGTAACATAAAAGAAGATAAAAGAAAGAAATCGAGTCTAGCTTGTTGCAGTGGGTTTACCTTTCACCAAGTATATCGATTTTCATCAGTAGGGAGCTCCTTCCATGTGTCTCAAAGAGTTGATCTTGCATTTTTATTATTAATATTTTTTGTAGTTACAATAATCTAGATCAGGATTTTGCACCAAATTAAAATCACCAAAAATCAATACGAGCCATTTCATATATTCCTTACAACTTTGAAAATATTCTCATAAAAAGACGGATTATCGGAGTTCGGTCCATATAAATATACTAAGGTAAATCTTATTTCTCCAACAGATAAGTCCAATATGAAATAAATTCCAAAATCATCAACTACATCTTTATGTATTTTGTAATCTAGTGACATTGATAAAAATATTGCAACTCCCCTAGAATTTGAAGATGAACAACTTATAAAACATTCCGCATTCCACTGAGAATGAATGGTGTTAAAAGTGACTGTGTAAGAAATGTGTGTCTTGAAGACAGTAAATATCACACAACTAATATTGCAACTTAATATAATTAAAATAATAGTTGTTTATAGTTTCAATCAAATAAGACAAGTTATGTAAAGTTGAATCATAACAAAACTCGTGGATCATTTTAAACATGTACATGTATTAGTATATCAAACAATGAAATTGAGATTTAGATAATAAGTTCACAAAAAGAACAAAAAAATAAGTCAAAGACAATTTACGTAAATAAATGTACTTGAATCATTTCATTGAATAACGTTCTTTTAACTGTTACAAAAGTAAAATCTACAGTATTTGTGTCATAGCACATACTTGTATAGTGTTATTAACCTCAACTAATCAGTGTCAACATCCGTAGAATTGCCATATAAGAACGTGTACGTTTATAACACAAAGAACCTTTCCGAATAACATATCATTTAAAATACACCAAGAAGTCTATTCGCTTGACATTTTAGACACACAGCGTATTATGTGTAAAGTATAAATCACAGAAGTAACCAACAAAAAACTTTGTGTGTAGTGGTAGAGTTCATTATAATTACTCTTTGTTCAATTTCACATGGTTCAATGGACAATGAATGATAATTTGTTTTTACTTTAATCCGGGGCAATTAATTATTCATGGAGCTGGGTTGTTGTTGTTGTTGTTGTTGTTGTTGAAAACGCCTTTTTTCTGCTTCACCTTTATTGCACGAAGAACCCGTCCAATAGGTTGTTGACTTTATCCCAATCCACTGAGAGTGCCTCACATTCTTTCATTGTATTTATCAAATCGCCCATGGTATTTTTATCAGGACATTGCATATTCCATTTGTGCAACATGTAAAAAATAGATGTCTCTGTACAATGCTTATGGTCCATTTTTATTCGTTCAACATCTACTTTGCTGACACCTAACATGGGTCCTAATAGCTCCCAATTCTGACCGATAGTTAAGGCAACTTTCGTCAAGTCCTTTTCCGTGACTATCTTTTGAAGGCCTTTTTCGTTATTAATAATAGTTCCATCTTGAAACCATTCTGCTAATGCTTTCTTCGTAATTATTGCATGGTTTGAATTATCTGGGCAGCATACACGATATTTCTTTTTGATGTTCTCTAATCCATAATGAACATTTTTACTTCCTTGACATTTATGAGCGGCATGGTTGCACTTCAGGTAATAAGTAAAAGGAATATCGTTTCTACTGCAGTTGTGACGCCGGAACTCGTTTGAAACGACAGTTTCTACGAATCTACGGAAACGGTCACAAACCGCACTTTCAACATTTGCTGGAGGGCATTGATTGACTACTGCTAACTCAATTCCCCTTTCAGTAGAATATGCAATGATACCTGCATGTTGAAGATCAAGAAGGTAGAAAGAAGTACTCTGAAATACCAACGATATGCCATCTATCTCTATTGGCGGCCATCTCTCGAGAGCTGCTGCAGTAGTTCTTTCAAATACAGTTTTGATAATCGTTGTATCTTCCAATGAAAGACCAAGTATGACTAACGAATAATTCTTTCCTTCTACACATTTCTTTAGAATTGATTGATCACCCTCACTTTTTAAAAGACTTGGTACAATGTATTTCCCCGTGCCTCTTGCATCACTAGTAATCTCATCAATTACCTGCATCTCAGCCAATATTCGATGTCTCTGCAAAAAAGCCAACAGAATATCTCTATGTTCCATAAAATGGTTTTTGTCATCATGCTCCCAAATGCTGTTCAACAAATATTTGTCTAGAACTGCGGTTTCTATCAACTTTTCCCATAACTCATGTATGTCTGATCTCCACTTACAAAATCGTTTAGATGTAATGATACATTTAAAAGCATCCACCAAAAATTGCGGATCAATAACGACAAATTCCCGAAGATTTTCCTCATCAAAGTACACAATTGTTCCTTTTGCATGGTGATATTTTAGGAAAAGCTTTAACTGACCCTCATCATTGATAGGCAAATCTGTAGACTTGTCTATGTTTTGAACATCCTCATATTTTAAAATCTTTCTATTTTCTTTGTTTCCTTTTAATGCCTCTTCTAATTGAATCCATTTTGCTGGAACCTTGCTGGCTTTAGCTTTTTCTGATCCTATTTCAAATATTGCTGTCTTTAATTCAGTAATACCGGTGTCGTTTGGATCTGTGTTTTCGATAGCAAATGGCATCCTGTAGATGTGATTTCTGGCTTTCGATTTTATTAAGAGATCATATACGTCGTCAAACTTCTTTTCAATATCACTTTTGCTGATGCAATCAGCCTTGTGTGTCCCTACAAGTATTATTTTTGGTTCCTTGCCGTCCTTTGTTCCGACAAAAGCATGCACTGACATGATCCAAAATTTCAAGCATGTCCTCATATCAAACTTTCTGTCTGGAAAATCTTCATCCTCTACTATGCTATCAAGGTCCTTCGTTAGGTCAAAAACTAAAAGATATATTGCGTCTCTTGAATGAAAAATCTGGTGAGTGGCATAATAAATGAACTGTCCTCCAAAGTCCCAAATATTGACGTTAATACTATTGTCATTTTTGTTTGATGCATAATAGTTTTCATCTTTCAATTTTTCTGTAAATTCTGAAAGCATATCTACTGCTTTTATGTGTAGGTCTGGCTCGTTTGTGATTGCTTTATCTTCAGATACGTCTGAACCGGATGTGAAACATTCCTCTATTTCACTGTTGTCCTCCGAGGATGTCTCTGAAAATGATGTTTCAGAAAAGTCTTTGTCTGTGACTGCTTCTAGAATATCGCCTTGATTTACTTTTTCGTCAAGAGAATTACATGTATTATCATTTTCAAATGATTCAGCATTTTTATCATCAACATCATTGCATTCTCCCGGTAGCATCATACTGTCTTCCTGTCCATTGTCATCGTCCAGTGTTTCAGTATTATTAATTGTTTTAATGCTTTGTATTATAATGTTTGCTAATCGACGTGCACCTTTTATCTCAGCAGCATGGGAAACAGTTGTTTTCCATATAACATTGTCCTCACAATTTGCTGCATGAATATCTATACCATCTGTACTTTCAATGTTTTCCATCGGAAGCTCTAAAAGCCTTCTTGTTAGACTTGTTTTACCCTGGTTAAAATTTCCAACAACCATAACCCTGATGAAGTTATCTGATTCGTTTCCTTCTTTCAATGCATGCATAAAAAGTTGTTTGTCTACGTTATCAAATCCTAATTCAGCAAGTTGTTGGGAGTCCTGTAATGAAAAGGTAAGGTTATATCGTTTCTTTTTTTATTTATCGCATTAACCTTTTAATGGTTTTATGTCACACTAACACAGCATAGTATATGTCATATGACCTCTTTCTAGCTTTAAAGGCGGAGGAAGACTCCCAGATGCCTTTCCACTGGCGTTCAATAAGCTAGCTGGATAGTTTCATCACATGAAAACAGCAATGAGGGAAAGTTGTTTGAAGTCAAACGACTTTAACCTTTCGGCTACTTTGACCTCACAAAATATCTTTAATGGACTTATCGATCTTATAATCTGGACAAAAGCTTTCATGATTTAAATGGAAAATATAGTGACGTAAAAGCAAACAGTGCAGTCAGTGGTCAGACGACACAGATGTACCAACTTATTTTAGTCTGCACTGGTCGCATGGGTAGATTTTGTTGCCGAAGGCAGGCTAAAAACTATAGCGTTTTCCGTACCTGGTCAATGTTAACATTTATAGATACATTAAAAGTTTAACTTATTTACTGTGTATTAGCGAAAAGTTCAGAGTATATCTAAATCAAATATGGAATATTGCATTTGTGTTTTATACAGCTTTAATTAAATCAGTTTTATTTATTTTGTTTACGATCATCTCAATAAAGGCGGCAGTTCTATTCTGGTAAGTATTTCAAACGTTTCATATTCAGATGGCACAAAATGATCATGTGATTAAGTAAAATATTTTTTGCTGGTTCGATCGTTTTGAATATAGACATTTACTTACTGAATCGTCTTCATCATCCTGTATCTTCAAGTAACATTCTGTAAAAATATATGAATTGATATAGAATTGCAGGATACAAAAACGAAAGAAAAAAGTATAAAATAAAACGTATTATAAGTCAACCAAAAATATTACAAATTTAATATAATATACATGTACGATATGTAAGTATACGGAAGTTGATTAGAAAATATGATTTTTTTTCATTTTACATGGCAATGACAAATTATAAGTAAGTTTTCTGGGTTTTCTTATTTCGGAAAAGATTTCTATTTCATGAAAATATGCGCAAACCTTCAAGATGAGTCTTCAAATCCTTGAATGTAGGTCTTTTAGAAGGTTCCTAACAAAAATTACAACAAAAGTTTGGATAGCAAAAAATAAATTTAACAAGCAAGATAAATTAATTATCAAATACAACTCGAAAAGAATGCTGAACGCCATATAATTGCATTAAGTCAGTCTGACTAAGGTTTACACGCATAGCATTATTTAGGAGCCGATTGTAATCAGATGAAGCTAATTTGAAAACAACTTAATTTGATACTGATTTGCAAATTGAGTAAAAATCTCGAAAACTTATAATAAGTTTCCCGATATTTATCCTACACATGCTCAACATACGATAGTCAATATTATTTAACATACATATTCCCAGCACCGCAACATTAACATGTCTATGTCTTTAGGACATGAAGTCGGTTTTGGAGGTGGGTAAATCTTTATTCTTTTGACATTTCTGTCACGTTCATATATGAAAGGCACATCACCACACGTAAATATTTCCCACATTAAAACACCTGAAAAAAAATGATTTAAAAGACACGATTGTGTATATTTAATTGCCTTATGTTTAAAAAATATACCATTTACAAAAGCCAGTACAGTTATAATACGTTTATTTCATCTTTAATACTCCTTTATTAACAGATTGCCACATTGATGACTTACAATTTCAGATTTGACGCTCAGCATCTTACATGCTCTAAAGCCATTATATTAATCTTATTAACTTCATGTTTGTTCTTTCTGAAGAAGGAACATATTCATCTCTGAGGAATAAGGTGCCTTCAAGTTTCTTTATTGAAATGTGTAAAACAAATATTTGTTTATGTTTAACTTAAATTTCACTTTGCGTAAAGGAAATCTTGCATTATTTTGTCTTTCTATTTTGGAGAGTTCTACTGTTACGCTTCTGTTGCTTTTGTTAGATTTGTATTCAAATTAGCATTTTTATTTACACGAACAACAATTACAGCGTTTTCTTAAATCAAGTTTAGCATTTGTGAAGAAAACATATCGAGTTATTATATATGAATTAAAAAAGTAAGAATAAAATATCATAACACAATCCTGACGGAAAAAAGTGTTTAATACCATCAGGGTGTGTTGTAACAGACAATAATGATATGATTATTTATGATATATTCAGACGGACAATAATTTACTGACTGCAATGAATTCTTTATCACTACTTTCTGAAAAAAATGTTATTACAACATAGACTAATTACCAAAAGACCAGATATCTGACTTGATGTCTCCTTTTCTAGACAGATAAACTTCGGGTGGTGCCCATGGAACCCGTATGGCATTAAAGGTTACAGTTTCTCCTTTTCTTAAATACCTGGTAAGACAAATACAAACTTAAATATTTAAATCAAATATAAAAAGGTACTTCATTTTTTCTTTAAGTTACTGTATATAAATATATTCGCTTAGAAGTCTGACAGTGTTCTTATTTCAATTTATTTTATATAATTTTAAGAGGTTAGTATGACTTTTCAATGACCTGCAAGGAAATAGTAATATTGCATGCACTTTTCTTTCCTGTAATTTACAAGTTAAAAGGTCTACTGCTTTTTTAAAGCTGAAGGATGTCAAATTTAAGGGTATCATCTTTTTATTTTTATTTTTCTACAAAGTTCACTTCCGGTATTAAACAGTTACAATGGAATCATGCCGTCAAATTATCTCCTCTTTTCGCAGAATAAAGGATAACATCTGAAGCGGGGAATATAATAAGATTTTTCTGAAATCAACGTTACTTCAATCACTTGAATTGGATAATATGGAGTTTTGTTTATCAACAATATCAGTATCGAACCTAGAAAATCTTTTTTTAGCGATCTTACCGCTTGACCTACGGCCTGTCCATTTCTTTATTTATAAAAGCCATAGTATTTATGCAAAATTATAATGTAGTGTTGGGGGAGATAATTAAAATAAATTCCGATAATCAAAATTTGTGACATCTTTCAATTATTCTTTTTATTATATAACTATGTTACATTTTAAAGATACTATCCATGCATTTCGTACTTGCAAACAATGAACCTTCATGCTTGAGTACAAGAACAATTAAAGAATACAGTAGACATACAAACCTCGCCCTAGCAAAATCAGAAACTTTTACGATCCCATTATTGCCTACCAAACAATTCTTTGCTGATAAGTTACGTAGAATATATCCTTGATTATGTAAATATTCCATCCCTCGACAAACTTGACGACACATATCTGTTAAGACTTCACAATCAAGTAACAGACCTAGTCTATTTGCTTTAAGAAAACGGTATAAGTTTCCTGAAGTAATATAATTGGGAGGAATTATTTCAAATAATAACAATAAGATGTAGAGATTAAATGAAATTAAAATAATCGAAAAATTATTTAAAATAAAATACAAACAACATATCGATCAGGAAATACAGTCATCAAAAATGCAAATATCAGAGCGTACTTGAGATATTAATGATTCTTACAGAATAATCTTGTCAAATTGGTTATTTTGGACAAGAAAAAAAGGGAATGAAACACTCAGAACAAATGAAATGCGATTTTTTTTCATTTGCATTTATTCATGTGCGATGCACAACTATTTCACAAAGGTGCGCACCAAGCTTTTAAAATGGATAAGTCAGGGGTTCATACCCCGTTGCAGACAAGCAACTTCAAACACAAATTGTTTTTTATGTTAAAAGTGTTTTATAATTTTACAGCTTGATAATATTTATCTGTAGATGTTTTATTAAAATGTTACAAGATAAACACCTAGTCGCTGTTTTACAAAACCATAGATAATTTTTGGACTGCGGCACTAAACATAAAATAGTTTTTATATTATATGTTATATATATTTTCTTATATTCAAAGAGTTAATGTGCCCGTTAGGGAATGTATCCTTAAACCTATTTTATTTTTTTTTAGATTTGTCGGCCATCTTGTATAACAGATCGGAACCATATGCATATATTTATTTTCTTTTGCAAAGGACTTCCCACTGTATGGTTTAATTGAAATCTACCAAGTTCTTAAGAAGGATTGTGTCGTTTAAAGTTTTTGTGCTTAAAGTGGGGGGCATTTAGATTTACCCTTGTACGTCCGTCCGTCCATCCGGGCGAACATACAATGGTCTATGAGCTTCATTCCGTCCATGATTTTAGTTAAAAACAGAAGGAAATCCCATAAACCGACTGGTTTAAGTGTTAATTTTACTGGTTTATGGGGAAAAGTGCCACATAAAGATCAAAGAAAAAGCACATAAACCCCAATAATTCTCATCTTGTGGCGCACATAGCTCAAAAAGTATCCGACCTAGGGCCATGAAACAGGAATGTTGATCAGTATGTGAAGTTGTGCACCTGGGGTTTCGCTTGTGGATTTTTTCTGTTTTGTCAGAGTTATTGCCCTTGACTAAGTAAATATTTGCAATTATCAACTTGTGTCACACGTAGCTCAAAAAGTATTTGAACTAGGGTCATGAAACTTTACAGGAATGTTGATCATCATCTGAAGATGTGCACCTGGGTATTTTCGTGTGGATTTATTTAGTATTTGTAGAGAAATTGCCCTTCACTTAATAAAAATTTGCAATTTTCAACTTGTGTCGCACATAGCTCAAAAGTATTTGACCTAGAGTCATGAAACTTCACAGGAATGTTGCGCAGCATATGAAGTTGTGCACCTGGGATTAAGCTTGTGAATTTATTCTGTTTTGTCAGAGTTATTGCTCTTGACTTAGTAATTATTTGCAATTTTGAACTTGTGTCGCATGTAACTCAAAAACTATTCAACCTTGAGTCATGAAACTTAACAGGAATGTTGGTCAGCATGTGAAGTTGTGCACCTGGGGGGTTTGGATTGTAGATGTTTCCTGTGTTTCTAGAGTTATTTCCCTTGACTTAGTAAAAAGCTGTTCCATTATGTTGTATTATTTGTTCCTTGAGTGTTTGAGTTAGAACCAACCAACTTTACAGGAATAATGGTCAACATCACTGCGAAGCTATGCACATGGATTTTTGCATGTGGATTTTTTTTAAATTTTGTTAGAGTAATTACCCTTGACCTTGTATAGATTTGCAATTTTCAACTTGTTCATTCATAGCTCAAAAAATATTTGATCTGTAGGCATAAAAAAACAAGAATGTTGGTCAGCATGTGAAGTTGTGCACCTGGGGTTTCGCTTGTGGATTTTTTCTGTTTTGTCAGATTTATTGCCCTTGACCTAGTAAAAATTTGCAATTATCAACTTGTGTCGCACGTAGCTCAAAAACCTAGGGTCACGAAACTTTACAGGAATATTGATCAGTGTGTGAAGTTGCGCACTATGGGGTTTGTTTGTGGACTTATTCAGTATTTGTAAAGTTCATGCCCTTTACTTAGTGAAAAAATTTTAGTTTTCAACTTGTGGCACATGTATTCCAGTACATATTTCACCAAGAGTCATAAATTGACGAACAGTGAAGTGTGGGGGCACCCATGTCCTATGGATACATTTCTAGTTTTTTTCTGTTTTCCCTGTTGCTGCATCGGCCAAGCGGGGAGTAAAAATGAAAATGACCGATGCTGGACGCAAGGTGATGTTAATAGTTCACATTGAGCACGTTGTGATTTGGTGAGCTAAATGATGCAAATATATGAGACAAAGATATATAGTACACAATATTGTATCCACTATTTTCTTCCTTAACTCCAACATTTGTAATGCAATGACACATATATGTTAATCTAGTCAAAGGAAAATGTAATTTCATTGATTACAAAAAATTCTATCTTAATACGATAAAACAAAACTTAAGTACAAACCGTTCCGCATAAACTCTGTTATTTTCATCAACGGTAAAGATTTGGAAACTATGCCATATAACTGCACCAAATTTGGATGATTTAAATTACTGAAAAAATCAAGGAAAAAATGTAAAACAAGAATATCCCACATCCTACTGACTATCCATTATCAAGACCTTTTAAATAATTAAAGAAATGTTTAAAAAGACACATCTGGATGCCATGCATTTTAGTACTTGACGATATAAAAATAAATTTTAGATGAAAAAGAATGAATTTGTACAAATAATTAAGTTAAGAAACTTACGACATAATTCTGGCCTCCATCAACATATGTTCATGAAAACTATGAATGTTTTTAATGATTTCAACTGCTATTTCTGTCCTTCCAAATTTACCTCTATGTATAACCTGGTAATTGAAAAAAAAACATTTTAACGCATAGAATTCCATTTTTTCTACCTGAATTTGAAATGAATGTAAAATATACATGGTTTAGAGACCTTTCTATTGAAAATGGGCCAAAGATCAATGAAAGGGTTTTTATTTTATCTATAATATAAAAGATTCGGCAAGAGATATCCTCTTCTTTCGATGCGCTTTCTGTTACATAGCCGATTGTGGAGTGTAAAGTTTATTCGTTGCTATCAAAATTCAAAGTAACACTTAAGAAAAGTAAATTATCTTTCTTTTAATTCAAAATAAAATTTATATCATACCAGAAAAATGTTAATGTTTTAAATGCCTACTAATGGAAATATTGAATAAAATGTAAATTCAACTCACACCAAATCTTCCTGATCCAATTTGCCGAAAATTTTCTATGTCATTTTTCTCGATCTCTAGTTTATCTGAAACTATTGTATCCTGATTGTTATTTCACATTATCTTTAGACAGAACCGTATACGTACAGTAGTAACATGACTCAAGATGTTTTTACAATAGGCAAGGAAGAAAAAGAACAGGGATTAAACTGACATTACTTTTTGTCCTATCTTTACATCAAATCAGAACACCTAAGTTTGAAAATGTCTATTTCGCACAAACTTACCTCAGAACCGTTTACATGTAATCATTTCTCTTTAAGTTGCGTTTCATTTTATAACTTAATTTGATAAACACTCCGGGTGCCTACGAAAAAGGGTTGTTCGAATTATTTTGAGACTGCGTCAATAAAAATCAAACTGCTTATGGATACATTTAAAAACATCGGTAATTTAAATTGTTTAAGCAAAACATAATTATATTTCCTAGTTCTCCCTTTTTATCAACTTGCAACACTGCACGGGGTAAAAGACACGTTGACTCTCCCCAATGAGCCTGCCACTCTGCTATAAAAATCATTCACATCTTCATGTCTATCACAATCAACATATATGTAAGCGAAATATCAGTGCCTTGGAACATATTGATCCCCATTCTTTCCTTTTTATGCCCCTCTTCAAAGAAGAGGGGGTATATTGTTTTGCTAATGTCGGTCTGTCTGTCGGTCTGTCCGTCGGTCTGTCGGTCCGTCGGTCTTTCCGTCGGTAGACCACATGGTTTCCGCTGATTATCTTGAAAACTATTTATCACAAAGTCTTCATATTTCACATAGTGATTGGTCATAACTAGTAGATGACCTCTATTGATTTTGAGGTCACTAGGTCAAGGTCACAGGGGCCTTAAATGTGCAAATGGTTTCCGCTGATTATCTTGAAAAGTATTCATCAAAAAGTTGTCATACTTCACATAGTGATTGGTCATAACTAGTAGATGACCCCTATTGATTTTGAAGTCACAAGGTCAAAGGTCAAGTTCACAGGGGCCTTAAATGTCAAAATGGTTTCTGCTGATTAGCTTGAAAAGAATTGATCACAAAGTCGTCATATTTCCCATAGTGATTGGTCACAACAAGTAGATGACCCCTTTTGATTTTGGGGTCACTAGGTCAAAGGTCAAGGTCACAGGGGCCTTAAATGTCAGAATGGTTTCCACTGATTATCTTGAAAAGTATTCATCACAAAGTCTTCATATTTCACATATTGATTGGTCACATATAGTAGATGACCCCTATTGATTTTGCTGTCACTAGGTCACAGTTCAAGGTCACAGGGGCCTTAAATGTCAAAATGGTTTCTGCTGATTATCTTAAAAAGTATTGATCACAAAGTCGTCATATTTCACATAGTAATTGGTCACAACTAGTAGATGACCCTTATTGATTTTTGGGTCATTAGGTCAAAGGTCACAGGGCCCTTAAATGACAGATTGGTTTCCACTGATTATCTTCAAAAGTATTGATCCCAAAGTCTTCATATTTCACATATTGATTGGTTATAACTAGTAGGTGACCTCTTTTGATTTTGGGGTCACTAGGTCAAAAGTCAAGGTCACAGGGGCTTTAAATGTCAAAATGGTTTCTGCTGATTATCTTGAAAAGTATTGATCACAAAGTCTTCATCTTTCACATATAGATTGGTTATAACCAGGATATGATCCCTTTTGATTTTGGGGTCACTAGGTCAAAGGTCAAGGTGGCATGGGCCTTGAATGGTAATATGATTTCCGCTTATTATCATGATTACTATTTATCACAAAGTCCTTATACTTCACATATAGATTGGTCATAACTATTAAATGACCCCTCTTGATTTTTGGGTCACTAGGTCAAAGGTCAATGTCACAGAGGCCTTAAATGTCTGAATTGATTCCGCTGATTTATCATAAAAAGTATTCATCACAAAGTTTACATATTTCACATATTGATTGGTCATATCTAGCACATGACCCCTTTTGATTTTGGGTCACTAGGTTAAAGGTCAAGGTCACAGGGGCCTTAAATGTTAGAATGGTTTCCGCTCATTATCTTAATCACAATTCATTACAAAGCCTTCATATTTCACATATTGATTGGTCATAACTAGTAGATGACTCTTATTGATTTTGAGGTCACTAGGCCAAAGGTCAATGTCACGGAGGCCTTGAATGTAAATATGATTTCCGCTTATTATCTTGGTTACTATTTCTCATAAAGTCTTCATATTTCACATATTGATTGGTCATATCTAGTAGATGACCCCTTTTGATTTTGGAGTCACTAAGTCAAAGGTCAAGGTCACAGGGGCCTTAAATCTCAGAATGGTTTCCACTGATTATCTTGAGAAGTTATCATCACAAAGTCTTCATATTTCACATATTGATTGGTCACATCTAGTAGATGACCCCTATTGATTTTGGGGTCATTAGGTCAAAGTTCAAGGTCACAGGGGCTTTTAAATGTCAAAATGGTTTCTGCTGATTATCTTAAAAAGTATTGATCACAAAGTCGTCATATTTCACATAGTAAATGGTCACAACTAGTAGATGACTCTTATTGATTTTGGGTCACTAGGTCAAAGGTCACAGGGCCCTTAAATGACAGATTGGTTTCCACTGATTATCTTGAAAAGTATTGAACCCAAAGTCTTCATATTTCACATATTGATTGGTTATAACTAGTAGGTGACCTCTTTTGATTTTAGGGTCACTAGGTCAAAAGTCAAGGTCACAGGGGCCTTAAATGTCAAAATGGTTTCTGCTGATTATCTTGAAAAGTATTGATCACAAAGTCTTCATCTTTCACATATAGATTGGTCATAACTAGGATATGATCTCTTTTGATTTTGGGGTCACTAGGTCAAAGGTCAAGGTGACATGGGCCTTGAATGGTAATATGATTTCCGCTTATTATCATGATTACTATTTATCACAAAGTCCTTATACTTCACATATAGATTGGTCATAACTATTAAATGACCTCTGTTGATTTTTGGGTCACTAGGTCAAAGGTCAATGTCACAGAGGCCTTAAATGTCTGAATTGATTCCGCTGATTTATCATGAAAAGTATTCATCACAAAGTCTACATATTTCACATATTGATTGGTCATATCTAGCACATGACCCCTTTTGATTTTGGGTCACTAGGTTAAAGGTCAAGGTCACAGGGGCCTTAAATGTTAGAATGGTTTCCGCTCATTATCTTAATCACAATTCATCACAAAGCCTTCATATTTCACATATTGATTGGTCATAACTAGTAGATGACTCTTATTGATTTTGGGGTCACTAGGCCAAAGGTCAAGGTCACGGAGGCCTTGAATGTAAATATGATTTCCGCTTATTTTCTTGGTTACTATTTCTCATAAAGTCTTCATATTTCACATATTGATTGGTCATATCTAGTAGATGACCCCTTTTGATTTCGGGGTCTCCAGGTCAAAGGTCAAGATCACAAGGTCCTTGAATGGTATAGGATTTCAACTCGTTATCTTGGAAGATAAATAAACAAAGTCTTCATATTTCACACAGTGATTGGTCATAACCAACAGACGATCCGTATTGCTTTTGGGGTCACTAGATCACAGGGGCCTTAAATTTTAGAATAGTTTCCACTTATTATCTTGAAAACTATTCATCACAAAGTCTTCATATTGCTAATATTGATTGGTCATAACTAGTAAGTGACCCCTATTTATTTTGTGGCCACTAGGTCAAAGGTCAAGGTCATAGGGGCATTAAATGTCTCATTATCTTGAAAAGTATTCATCGCAAAGTCTTCATTATTTTTCTTTTTTCCATTATTGAATACTTCAATGTACCCATTTATTGCAAGTTTCTCTAACAATATTACCAATAATTTGAGTCAAGGGCTAGAAAGGGGGGCATATGTGTCGTTCGACATTTCTTGTTAAATATGAAACTGGTCTGTAAGAAGATTTTCGACCCGAACCCAATGTCTGATAACTATTATGACCTTAACATTGTTGTTTCACAATATATTAAATTAAGTAGGTTGTGTCTTCTTTGAATATTTCAAATTTGTTTTCAGTTAAATGACTTCAAAGTAATACAAAAAATAGAAGTAGACATAGTTATTATTGTATGCGCTATAATCACTACGTAAAATATTGTATTGAACGGCCGTCCATATTTTTTGACATAACGTCTTTTGCGCTATAAAAAGATATAGTGTAAAAACTGGATAATTTGTGATCCTTTAAAAGCATTAATCACAACAAAATAATATGAAAAATGTAGACTCGGTTAAGACGAGCTAAATGTAAGCGTTATACTATATGAGTAGTATATGGGATGATTAAGCGTCACTTACTGCGCATGCACGCCGGCCATTTTGGATGATTAATGCCATTACGTAATTTATTGTTGGTTTGATTTTATAGTATTTAAGTGAATAAGAAACTATTTGAACAAGCGACACATAGATCTTACGGTTATTGGTAGAAGACCATAAATCGAGTACTAAGGAAAAATATCGTTACGGTGTGACATTTCTTAGGTTAACTGTCAAGAAATTATGCTAAGACATCTAATGAATATGGATGAATTTCTGGAGAACCAATTTGCAGGAGGACCCTACTCAGCAACAATGTGTCCAATCAGCAAAAGAATTAAAACATCAACACGACCTGAGTATTACAATGTCTATTCAACAAGCGATTAAACTTATAAAAGACGTTTAAGAATTGATGAATTAAGTGAACATCAGAAATCGGATAAGGAATAAAACAACATATGAAAGACGATGAAACATATCATTTCAAAACACAAAATGGGACCAATAGAAGTCTACGGTCTTAAGCAGCAAAATTGGGTGCCTTATATACCGGACGTAGAGAAATAGTATCAAAATTTAGGAGGCATAAGAGATGGTTACGTAAAACACGATCATAGGAATCATATCCTTGTCGGAAGCGGTCACGCGTGTAAACGACTCGGTATTAAAAAACAAAGCCCACCCAAAGGATCGGAGGAAAAACTCAAAGAAACACAATGCGCACAACGTCCTATGGTCAATATGGTTGGCAACTTAAATTGCAAAGTCGGAGGTTGAAATGAATTCAATAAAATTCCAATACACAGGTCCCGATCCGTAAAATGTGTAAGATTGACTGGAATCACCTGCTATTCTAAATATGAACATTAATTATTTAGAATAAATATTGCAAAAATACCCTGTGACAGTGCACGCTGCAGACTAATTCCGTGTAAAAAGGGTCAATTCGTGATTTCAAACACAGATACGTGTGATAGACATGGAAAACATGTTCCTCTCTTTATTTCATTAAATTTAACAATATATCAAGAAGGCTGGGGGTAAGAAAAGCCAAATACGATATTCGGCAGTAGCTTTGAAATAGCGTTAGTATACTCCCTTGTTTTTGTCTGAAATAATTAAAATAACATTGGTCTGCGCTGTGTTTTAGTCTATCTTACACACGTATCGCTTGCCGCAATTTAAAGTGATGTTATTGATAAACTTCGTAAATAGTGCAAGAATCCAAGCAATAAATCTGGAGTTTTAATTAATTTCTTCTCAGACGTTATCACTTGCTACTGGGCAGAGACTGTCCGCAGCTTTGAGCTTTATTTATACCCAATAAAATAGTTATATTTAATGATCGCTTACAAACATTGATGACATCAAGCATATATATCATATATTGGATCAAAATGTTGGTATGAATGGCACCGAATTCAAATGATTTTGAGGACAGATTGCCTTGATATTTTACAAATGGCAAAAATATGTTTATGTTATCAAATAATATTTTATAAATAATTTGTTAAATTAAATCTATTCTTTATTTATTAATCATTTTTTTTATAAAAGATTAAATTATTTCTTCAAACACAAAATTACATATTTGTTTACAATTAACGGCAATATATGTGTAAAACCAGTAAATATCATTTTAAATCCAGGGCGAAAGGAACAATCGCCACATTATCCCTGTCTCTCAAACAGCATGCGTCCTGCAGCGATAAAAGTCACATTTTCATTTCAGCCATTAAAGTTTTGTAGTTTGCGTCACAGTAAAAAACAATACCTTGAAAGAATGGTCGAGAGTTCAGCAGGAGAAATATTTTGAATTCCTTAATTTCAGAATGCTGAAGAAGTTGTTTTATTTTTTTCATATCAAACAGTCTCTTTGACCATATATTTAGAATATCTTTTCCAAGAATAAATGTGTCAATGTCTACATTGGTACTGGGAATAAATCTGATTTACCGTTTTCTGCAAATGCTCAGTCGCAAATTCCGACTACCGTGTCAGATTCCATTTCTACCTGAAAGTCGAGGTTTTTCATTTTAACAATATTAAATGTTCCGAAGTCACGATGAACTTTTTGCAGGACGGTTGCTTCCATTTTCGTCAATTTGTACGATCGACACATTACACAGGACAGCAATCTTGACAAAAAGCTTAGGAATGCATTTAAAGTCAAGCTGTTCATTAGCAGAATATATACACGGCCTTTTAACACCGAGTCTCAAAAGCGGCATGAGTATGTGATTATATGTGGCCCCGCCCTCATACTAAAAATTGGTCACGTTACACTCGTTACCGGATGAAATTATGGTTTAATTTGTTACTAGTTTTCGTAACAAGAATTTTTTTCAATAAAAACATGTATGACAATGATTTAAAGTTATGAGGAATATGATGATGCATGGCAAAAAAATGCCCTCGTATCTACATCACAAGTACTAGTATTTAATTGCAAAAAAAGTGAAAGAATAAGCATGTACTTACGAGAAAATTCCTGGGTTTCCTTATACTTCAAAGGTGGTGAACACTTCAAAAATGTACGTAAACAGCCGGATCGTTTATAATGGTAGCGTATGAGATCAGGAATTGACACAAACAGTGTTTGTGGATTCAAAAAAAAGTATTTATTTTTCAGGTTGATAGGGTACCGATACACTTGGCCACCAGTGCTAGAGAATAAATAGAAGGAAAAAAACATGTTTCAGGGATGTTAAGAATTCCTTTTAAAGATTAAACTGATCATAGCGTGTGTACAAATATTTGTTTTTGAAATCCTTGAATCGCATGATTCAACGTCTTAAACACTATTTTAAGGTACATTTATACCATAGTTACAATCTATAAAATAAATTTCTGTAAAATCAATATCTGTAAGAATACAGCAATGTTATTTTTTAACTGAACTGTTGTTTTTAAGTAATGAAACATGCATGTACTATTCTGATTTTGCCGTCTGAGCTTAACATATAATAAAATATAGAGCAAAACATTATAGAGCAACTATCAATACTATTATAAAAGATCATCATCGATCAATGAAATGTGTTAACTAAAAAGATGAATTTGTATAGTTCTGAACAGTCCATTGTGCTTGTACATTTTCCACAAGTTTAATCAATGTATTAATACAAATATTGCTGTATTTTCATTAATCAAACCTGCTTGCAAAATATATTAACAAGTACATGTATGCAATCAAAGGAACCAACACCATTCTTGATGGTATTTAATGAAAAACGAAATTAAAATTTTAAGTTCAATTCAAGTCTAATGTTGTTTAATAAAATAAGAAAGAAAGTTGACAAAAATTCGTCAGTAAAACGTATTTTTCTTTGCAAAAGTTACTTTAGCAGAAGCCCATATAAAATGAAAATATATTTTCATCAGCACGATCAGGTGCCATAACAATGGTTGGACGTGATCCTGGATCGTCTTCTAAAATAATGTAAGCTGTAGGGTGTAGCTTTACCTCTAGTCATTTTTCAGGTTGAATTCTATCACTCCACGTGATTTTGTCACTATAGACAAAGAAGGAAAAAACCGGTGTTTAACTGCCAATAAACACTGGTTAGGGACTACTTGTATATGCGGCTTTAATGTTTTCACCCTAGAGTTATATAGTTTAAAAAGCCTTTAAAGCAACAATAAAAAGCATTTTTATTTATATTTTCAGTTCTTAAAATGTTTTCTTTTCATACAATACCGAAATAATATCTCACATACACTAACGCCACATATTTGATCCATATCAGTTAATAAATATTTTGACAAAACGGCGCCAATCCGTAAGCAGCGTAATGACGTCATCGTAAGTAAACAACTCATTCATAAACAGGCTAACGTTATTTCATACATACAAGAATGATAAATGGGGCACTGATGAAAACACAATACGACGTATGTTTTAATTGTTGAAAACTTGATAAAAGAACGTTTTTTTTTTCTAATTGTTTATTTTGTTTAATAATTTCTATATCTTTGCAACAGTAGGGTGCGAAAATCGAGCAGCGTTATACGAAAATCGGCATCGGAAGTTATTTCCGCTTGAAAAAATAACATTAGCGATCTTCCTTAATTTATCGTGATAGAATCGAAATACATCGGCCTGAGAGGTGTATATCGGCTATTTAACACCGGTTTTGTCGTTTTGATGCAAAAAAATTAACCACTCAGGCCTACGGCCTTCGTGGTCAATTCCTACTCATCAAAACTCCAAACCGGTGTTAAATAGCCGATATACACCTCTCAGGCCGATGTTATTTCTTAAGTTTAAATCGATATATATGATGTAACTACTTTAATTTAACTTAAAGCGCCACACAAACGATAAAAATCAAAACTGTTGCAGTTGATGTTCGTTTCCCTTTATATTTGATACAATCACGGATCCGTCCTTTGTGTCCCGGATCACGGATCTCGAGTTAATCATGCAATATTATATATATATTATATTTACGAATTACGTAGTTTTGAAAATGAAGTTGAATCTCGATGGTGGAAAGTGTTTTTAAAGCAAAAATGTTGAAAAAATGTTGACACTTCAAAGCACCATTTTGATTTCATTCAATTTTTATATGTATTTTGGAGAAATATTTTCAAATATTAGTACAATGTTATTCTCTGGAGGTATTCTGCTTAAATACGACGTTTAGATAAAAGAATTAATCATGGAATAGCTACCGATCTTCGCAGAATAACATCAACACGTAAGGTGAAAAATCTGCTTCTTGTACAATAAAGCATCCATCTACTCCAACCTCTCTGAGAATGTATTCACAATGCTGTGATGTAACATCCTTATAAAACCAACTGTAAATAAAATACATATTGTTATATTTAAAGACTGATAATTCCTTGAATTACTGACAGAGAAAATATAATTTACTAAGTTCTTTTAAGAATCTTAAATATTAGAAGAAATATCAATGTTTTACCTTGAGCGGTGAAAATTACCTTTAAATACATCTACATTTCTACCGGAGGTGTTATAGTATGAATTAATTAGTAACTAAAAGGTATGGTCTTCTGACTTGTGACTTTACAAGTACGTAATATATATGAATAATTCAAACATAAAATTACGATGAACATAGAAAATGGGTGTTTTTTATTATGATACAAACGCAGCCTTATATTCCGTAGACAAGTGTAACAACAACAGAAACAATGATAGGATCATCATTTGCAGGAGCTACAGAATTAATATGAATGCATTATCAACGTCGTTTAGTTTATGCGAATTAATTTTAGTGTCCAACTTTTTTGTCATCCAATGAAAACGCTGTATTTCTTAAAAATTCTGTGCGTTAATTTTCATTGAAGGACAGAAGTCGATACTATATCGAATGCCGTTCATAGTCGACTTCTATTTTTCATTGTACTTCACAGAACCGCATAGTGACGTAATAAAGGGAGTGATTATAAGGCCAAAAAAGCTTGACACAAATTTTATGTTAGTATTTCTGTAGTGTTCTGCAAAAATTAAAAAACATTTCTTTTTGTCGCAAAATGCCCCCGTCAAATTTTTCAATTTTATAGAACAGCAGGATGAACACTAAATATACTTAGTTCCTATAATCTTATTGAAACACTTTCGAATCCGTTCCTGACACAAACCAGTACAAAGCAGAGAGTATAAAGTTCCTTGCTCATAGAAACAACGACTTGCCCCTTAACGGTATGAAATCCCTTTTTATATGTAAATATTTTTTTCACATAAACCGCGGCGTAGTAGTGTAATAAAGTTATGTAATAAAAACGATATAATTCTATTGTAATAACAGTTAGGAGTGACGTCATTTGCGCTATATAGAAACATAGCGTTAAAGCGCGCTAATGTTAGCGTTACACTATGGGCGCGTCATTGAAAAAATACTCATTTTAACAGTAAACTGTTCTTATTTTATATATGTGATAAATATAATATTATATTCGTGAAGATTCAATTCTAAAATTATCAAACTCGTTGAATAAAACAATTTTATTCAACTCGTTCAATAAAGTTATTATTAAACTCATTCAATATCCTCTATATAATGTACTGAATGTAGCAAACTTATCATAAAAAATGATGACCTAAGTGTATCTCACGAGGGTAAATGAAAAACCCTATGAGCGTTAGTAATAAGTTGAGTGCCAAAATTGAATTTACGAACCCATATCGTCAGCAGATAACCTTTGTAACTATTAATCAGAATGTGTGCCAACATTTTAATAGTTTAATACTTTTTGCCATTCATGTAAAAGAATAAACGGTATTTCAATATAATCTCTTTACTTATGTATTTCTATCTGCTGTCTATACATCTAAGCATGATATATAAAATGTTGATGATAAAATCATTAAAAAATGAACATTATAGACTCCAGTCGGTAAACACAAACTTACAAATGAATCTTTAGTCAATATAATATGTCTTCAATTGAAATATGTACTTTTAATGTAAAAGGTTTAGCATCGACAAACAAACGTGACCGTGTTCTGTGTTGGCTTAACCAACAAAAAATTTCAATAGCGTTATTGCAAGAAATTCATTATAACTCAAACACTGATGATACAGAAAATTGGTCGGCAAAGTGGAATGAAAAATCTTTCTTAAGCGGAAATAGTACAGACAGTTTAGGCGTCGGTATCTTTATTAATATGTCTTGTAATTGTAAAATTTTAGAATATCAAGAAATTATTGTGGGCAGAATGCAACGAATTAAACTAGAAATCGAGGAAAAGGTGATAAATATATTCAACGTTTATGCTCCAAATAACGACGATATCAATTTTTTCAATATATTAGAAACCAATCTTGATAAATTTAGTGACGAAATACTACTAGTTGGCGGTGATTTTAATACTGTTATTAATCATTCTTTAGACAAACTAAACGGTAAAAGTGATACAAATAAACGAACTTCTAAAAAGGTTAATGAACTAATTGATACATTTGATCTTTGTGATGTTTTTAGACTACTTAATCCAGAACGAAAACTTTTTACTTGGCACTCTCATAATAACCCACCAATTTTCTGCAGACTCGACTATTTTCTTTTTTCCACTTGTGCTCTCAATTCAGTAACAGACTTCCAAATAAAAACTGGTTATAAATCAGATCATTCTATTGTGATTATGCATCTAAAGTTTATTCAATGTAAAAAGGGCCCAGGATACTTTAAACTTAACAATTCGTTACTTTTAGACACTGATTATCAAAATAAAATAAAATCATCAATACAAGAAATAGTGTCATTTAATGACCAAGCCAATCCAAACGTATTATGGGAAATAATTAAGGGCAGAATTAGAGATGAAACTATCAAATATGCTAGCATTAAAAAGAAAAAATGATCTTAGAAATGAGCATGAAATTAATTCTAAAATTAGGGATCTGGAAAAAGAAATTGAGTTAAATACAAGTAATAATATTTTAATAGAAAATCTTAAATCTGAAAAAAGCAAAACTTAATGATCTTATTGACAAAAGAATTAAAGGTATCCTGCTAAGAAGCAAAGCTGAATGGGTGGAAGGGTCAGAGAAAAACACAAAATATTTTGCAAAACCTTGAAAAGAAAAATGCTGAACAAAAAATAATTAGCCAACTAAAAGATAATAGAAATAACATTGAAACGAATCAAAACAAAAATTTTGACTAAGATTAAAGATTTTTATGAACGTTTATATAAAAAAGACTTACAAATAGAAGATTGCGAAGATTCTATCTTTTTCGCAAATGAAATAAATACTTTAGAACAAAATAATGAATATGTAGAAAATGGTCATCTTACAGAATACGAATGCGGAATTGCTCTTAAAGACATGAAAAATAACAAGAGTCCTGGAAGTGACGGTATAACTGCTGATTTTTACAAAATATTTTGGAATGATCTAAAACAATATCTTATTAATTCTCTAAACTACTCTTATGATAACTGAAATCTTACGGAACTTCAAAAACAAAGTATTATTACTCTTCTTCCAAAGAAAGACAAAGACACGTTATCAATAAATAATTGGCGTCCGATCTCTTTACTAAATGTAGGTTACAAAATTGTGACAAAAGCAATTGCAAATAAAATAAAAACCCAACTTCCAAATATTATCAGTCCAGAGCAAACAGGCTTTATCAAAGGTAGATATATTGGGGAAAATGTTAGAATTTTACAAGAGACAATTGACTATATTAATAATTTAAATGAAAAAGGGTTAATATTTTTTTCTGATTTTAATAAAGCTTTTGATAGTCTTGACCATAACTTTATGAAAAAATGCTTATTGAAATTTAAATTTCCTCAACATATTATAAATTGGGTTGGCCTTTTTTATAAAGATGCTAAATCGTGTATACATAATAATGGTCATCTATCCAGTTTCTTTAAAATAGAAAAAGACGTGCGACAAGGGTGCCCTTTATCTCCTTAGCTATTTATTATTTGTATAGAATTACTCTCAAATGAAGTTACCAAAAATGAAGATATTAAAGGCATTAAGATAGGAAACATTGAACTAAAACAAACACTTTTTGCCGATGATGCATGTTTTATAACTGATGGAGAAAAAAGATCGTTTCTAACACTTATTTCAATACTAAAAAAAATTTCAAATATATCAGGCCTTAAATTGAATAAAGATAAATGTACTGTTTTAAAACTTGGAAGTTTAAGAAATACTCATATCAATTTCTGCAATGACAATAATTTTAAATGGACATCTGAAAAAGCTAGCACGCTCGGTATAACTTTCACTAATAACATAGACGAAATGCTTCATACTAATTTAACACCTAAACTGAAAGAGTTCGATCAATGTTTGCATAAATGGAAACGATGGAAACTAAGTCTTTTTGGAAAAATAACCGTTCTTAAAACTTTTGCAATGCCAAAACTTATTTATCCTCTCACAGTTTTACATAACCCAGACCAAGAAATCATACATAAAATAAAAAAGCTCATGTTTAACTTTCTATGGGACAACAAACCAGACAAAATATCAAGAGATAAGATTATTCAAGATTACCAACATGGGGGGCTTAAAATGTTAGACATTGAAAGTTTTATATATTCCTTAAAATGCTCCTGGGTTAAACGCATTAAATTGCAGCAACATTCAAATGGGTTAAAGTATATGAAAATATGTTAAATAGATATGGAAAACAATTCATATTTAAATGTAATCTAAACATAAAAGATATTGAAAATTTAGATATTAGATCTACATTTTTAAAAGACGTACTCAGTGCTTGGTCGTATGCAAACTTTAATAAAGAAATAACTGATGTTGGTAAAGAAATTATATGGAACAAACACGAATATAAAACTAAATAACAAACCATTTGTTTTCTGTGAATGGATAGAAAAAGGCGTAATCTTCATCGAACATATATACGATTATAGGAAAAAACAATTTTATAGCTTTAACGAAATCCAAAACCTTTATGGCATAGCCCAATCAAACTTTTTAAACTATCATCAACTCATAAAATGCATACCAAAAGAATGGAAAATAAAACTAAAATCTGAAGGGATACAATACAAAGCTAATAACTACTTAATTGATAAATTAAAACCTCAAATTAAAACCTGCCGATTTATTTATACTATGCTTATTCAAAAAGAAAAACAACAACAAACAATCATCAAGAAAAACAAATGGGAAGCTGAACTGTCAGGCAACTTTGAATGGAAAAATATATTCATCAAATCATAAACATAACGATTGATACCAAACTTCGAAGTTTTCAGTATAAATATCTTATGCGTATTTTGCCAAAGAATGAAAAACTCTTTAAATATAATATGGTGGAGTCAATGTTATGCGATTTTTTGCAATTCGGCACCAGAATCTTATGTACATCTATATTGGGAATGCTCAAATATTCAACCATTTTTGGTGTCAAATCAGGATTTTTTTACAATCAAAATATTCTACAGACACAACTTTGGTATCATACGAAACTGTCAGTTTGTGTAATGTGAATATTCAAAATAATATGAAATCAAACTGCATTAACTATATTTACTCTTAGGTAAATATTTTATATTTAAAAATAAATACCAGAAAACCATACCAAACTTCAGTGAATTTTAAAATTATCTTAGATATAAAACTTAGTTTAGAAAAGACTCATTGCTGAAATGAAAAATAAGGTCGATGTCCATAACAACAAATGGAGCATATTCACATCATAAACATATGCGACTGGCTGGAGTTAATTAAATATTATTTACACGCTTACTATGAAACGCTTCTTTTTTTATTAATGAAAGCATAACTATAAATAATTAAATTACATATATCATGCTCTAGATTACTTTTCCTTTTTTACAATCATGTTAAATCAGTTTAAATCTACTTAGTCTTTACTAAAGTTTTTTCCTGATGTAACCATTGTTTATTCTTGCAATTAAACAATTTGTAATATGTTTGTAAATTTGTATAATGTATGAAATGTATTGTTTGTACGAACTGGATAATAAAGAAAATTTAATAAAAAAAAAAAAAAAGAAAAACATTTTAATAGTTACACAAGTTTGGAACAAATTAGGATAAAATAAAGTTTCCTTATAAAAGGAAAGGCTTGCTCAGTTGTGCCTTCATCCCAACCCGTTAAAATTGTTTTGCTTTTTTTTTGTTTCAATTTATTATCACATTTTTTTAATTACGGTATTTGTATATCATAAAGGGTTTATTTAGTTTTTTTTGTAAAAACGAATATTTTTTGTCAAAACGATTTGAAATCTATTCTCTATTGTATAAAAATAATAAAGAAAATAATCAATCGTAAAAATACTAACGTGGAGATCTATCTATCATACTGAAGGGAAACAAGTGTGCACATTTCATTTCCACTTTTTTCGCAGAGAAATCATTCGTTTTGGCAGTTGCTAATTTCTTTTATAGCAGCTTTATAGACAAGTAAATGCACTTAAATACTTCGTTACATGGTACCAATTAATAAGCATGTATCAACTATGTTACACGATCACAGATACGATTCGCTATCTGTAGATCAGCACGTGGTAAGGTTAATGATATGCATGGGCTATTTTTAGATTACCTCACCAAGACGTTGAATTGCGTTCAGTAGATCTAAATATAACTCGATCATGCACTAATATTCTGTGTGATTTGGTAAGCAGGACCACCTTTTGGAGACGGAATACTACTACAGTAACAATTCTCTATTGTATAAAACTAATACAGACAAAAACAATTATAAAAGAAACTTACTTTTGCGTCTTGAAAAAGAATTGAAACGGAACAATTTCGTTTATAATTTATTACGGTTTAAACCGATAAATCAAGTAAAATAGAAATCCTACGTCTGATTCCGCAGTTTGACGGAATCGCCCGAATTGTCACGATTGCAATCGGAACTACATCGGCTATTATCATTAATCCGAAGAGTGACGGAAAGGGCCGAAAAGTTGCGATTGGCACGATTGCAGCTGGTTTCCCGTTCAATCATGCACTAACAAATGTAAGCAGGAAACCACCTAACCGGAACAACTTTTCCAAAACAGATGGCTTGCAGCCGAAAAGACTCTTTTAACAACAATGTCTAAGCCAAATGAGTTCACCTTTGTTACACATAAATATTACTTATACATGTAGATAGAATATTACTGACATTGTCAATTTCTGGTTCGTTCTAAACATAAACGGTACGAGTTCTTTTTATGTAACCCCCGCCAACTCACCCATATCGGGGATACACATTTGCAACATATTCTGCATATTACTCACGTGGATACAATATTGAAAAATGTTTCAAATGTTATCAACAAATATACTTTATATGAATGGCATTTTTCTTCATCGTACAAACCTGTTAGATTTGCAGTGAAGAGTTACTCAGATTTGTAAAAAAAGGAATAATGTGTAAAAATAAATAATAAGGAAATTTTATACTCACGGGTTCATGTCAAGCTCCGGTTTAATGCTGACAAATCTCGAAATTATTCGACCTATTTTTCTTCAATAAAAAATATAAAGGCTAAATATTATCTCCGACAATAATATTAATTAGGCAGGTCGATATTCGCCCGAATAAAAAGTTTGTTTGAGTTATCAAAAACAACATTTCTATAAAAGTCCCATATGAAAAAAACTTAATCTTAATTACCCGTATTATACTAAATGGTCCCAGGATGGGAACAATTTTGACCCTATTGAAAGATTAATAAAACGTTTCTTGAGGTCAACTAGTAAATGCGACATTCCAAATATATACGATCGGGGCATTGTAGTTTTCCTCAAAAAGATAGATGTGATCAAGGTTAATATATCTGTCAAGAAATCTCATCTTCTTTCAATCGGTACAAAAGATACAGACGAACAGACTGCCAGGAGAAAAACAAATTATGCCAATCTTTTTTTCCGACATATGAACACATCATTTGTATTGTTGTTCTCGATTTTAAAAACTAAATTGCTTAAAAGTACAAGAATGTGAATAAATGCCTACCCATCCAATTTTCTCGCAACCCAAAATTCCTTGTTGGTGTCGTCTAAAATTTCGCAGATTTCACCCTGTGGATATATTGATATTTACATTTTATCGGTTTTATGAAATACAAAACAACCTTGATGCATCATAAACAGCATTTTTTACTTTAACCATAGAACAATTATCAAATTAGAGAATGTTACCCGCGTTCTAGTAAAATATAAGAAATAGGAAATATCGGTATCGTTGACATGTCTTTTGCAGTCCTGTCTGTATTAACAGTTTTTATGCTTGATATTATTTTATCCATTGGCTATACCTTTACATGCTGTTAGCATTGCTTTGATTAGAAATCACACATCGTTAAAGCCAATAACACACAAATACAAATTTGGTCATCTCAAATAAAATTTACTATGGGTTACATGGTAACCAAGCAAAAGGTGTCTCATAAGTCAGAAATGGCTGGCCCTTTCAGTAGGGATGAAACTGTAATAAAAAGACCTTTACCTATATATTTTAGAGGATATTTGTTTAGTTCAGTGTAAGATCGGAATATATTTCACCGAATAAGCACCAAATGGTATATTTCACGAGTGCCGCAGCCACTCATTGATACAAGCATGAGATCATTGATACATGCACTATTAAGTGTTGAGAACTGATTACCAATCAAGCCGGTGCTAGGGGGCGGCGTGAGGGATGTGTCACTTATTCATTATCCCTCATGTACAGACTCAATCTAACCGAGTCTGCAATTTTCATGTAATTTTGTTGTGATAAATGGATCACTTTGTTTCCAGATTTTGGTGTTCACAAGGTGAAATATATTTCGACCTTACACTGAACTAAACAAATATCCATTATCATAATAAATATATATTTTTTGTATACCAAGATCTACACATTACCCTATATCATTTTTTTATAGTTTATCATTATAAACATAATTCTTATTTAATTGATAGCTTATAGTATCTTATAATATAATCTTATGATTTTGTTGTCCTCTAAGAAACTACATGTCATTCATCATTATGACTTTGTTTGTTTAAATTTATAAAATGTTTTTGCTCTTGTATTTGTATAAAAGCAAATTGAGCCGATATCAATAAAAGAATTGAAACAAATGAAATGAAACATACACGATGCAAATTTAAATATGTACTGGGTGGAATCGGAATGACATCACGTTCTGCCACATAGTAAACCTTTTCAGGTGGTGGTCGTGGGGGTCTTGGTGGAGCGATCAACGACGTCTCATCAGCACTTTGTTTTGTATCTGTTGGCTGTAAATCTTTAATATCTAGTATCTTTTCTTCATTTTGTGTAATACTTGGTCGTAATAAAAATGGGACAAAATACTCTTTATCAGTTTTTTTACGAGCTGCATATGTTTCTGAAAGTTTTTCATTTGATGTGTCCTCAGGCAAAAATGTCTCATTAACATTTTCATCTTCTGATCGACTTGAAATGCGAATATCATCGTGGACAGCTTTAGAATTATTTTCAGTTTTAATGGCTTGTTTAAACACTTCTTCATCAGTGATATCCCTAATCCCGATCTCAGATCGTGCATCATCGTGTGTTTGGATGATATTGACGTAGTCTTTGGTTACCATTTTGTTAATAAGTTCTTCGTTATCTTTACTGCTACTTTCATCGATATTTCTTATACGTGCGTCTTCAAAAGATTCAATTCCCTTCACATTTAAAGGAGAAGGAGGCAAAATAAGTGAACCTTCATACCCATGAGAACACGTTTTCTTTTGTTGTGAATCAGCACTTAGTTCTTTTGAACACGAGGGATTTACATTTAAAAGAATGTCTACATGATCGCTTATAGCTTCTTTTCTTTTCTCAGTCTTATCACCTTTATCGGTTTTATCATTATTTGTGTTCAGATTTGAAAAACTGTTAATACTAAAATCACTGGTCGACGTTAAAATTTGCGTTTCGTGTGTCTGATTTGCGTTGCAATCTCCTTCCATAAGATTTCCAGTTACGTTATGAAATAACGTTCTTTCTGTTGTATTTTGTTTTTGGAATGATGCATTTTGTGAGAGACCGAACTTAGCATGAATTTCCTTTTCATTATGTGATAAATACCCATTTTGCTTATGTTCATTGTTTGGGGTGATTATTTGATAGGCAGTTTGCACTTGCGCATCCTGACTTTTATAATCATTGTCATTAATTAAATCGTGTTGTAAAGGAATGCAATCTTTGATATTATTCTTTTCTGACACAATTGGTCCAAGCACCTGTTTTGAAGGTCTTGGTACACGTTCGTGTTCCTTAGCATCTTCCTGTAAATTGGCGAAGTTTGCTTCATCATTTTTACTATCAGTTTTAGGCTTAAGTGTTGGTTTTGGTGGCACTGATGGGCGTTGTTTCTTAACACTTCCATCTTTTGCTGGTGAGTGTAAACATTTTGAGTCAGTGACGGCAGTCGTTTTGTCCAATGTACATTTCAATACTGGTTTTGGAGGAACTTTTGGACGTTTTTTCAGGACATTACTGTCGACATTTTGTTTCATCAAAGAGTTTCCTTTTATTAACTTTGTAGCCTTGTTTAATATTTCTTTAGGCTTTGGTGGAATTACTGGTTTGGATCTGTCTACACTTGTCGACATGATTTGTGATTTGAAAATATTCTGCAAAAAATCATAGATCATTGATGGCATTTTTCATTTGCATTAAAAAAACAAGCGGGCCATGCGATCACAAAAGCTCACCATGTGACTTTGTGACAGGTTAGCTAAAAACATATGAAAAGTTGTTTTTATCATGTCATATTGTTAAGAAATTCTACTGTCTACAGGTTTTATAATTACAAAATTAAAACATAAATGTATATGATGTTAAATATGATATTCCAGAACTTTGGAAAGAATCTACCTTAGGAGTACAAATATTGGCCATATTCCTGCTTCGCTGTTTGAGAAATACACACTGTGCCTCTCCATGCATAATTTCAGGCGAGATTATAAAAGTAAGGTATTATTAACATGCATTTTACTTATGACTCTTTGCAAGCCTATGTAAAATTTAAGAAAACATGGTAAGTTAATAGAAAATTTTCAAAAGTTTAGTTAAAAATAAACACATTTTGTTCACACATGTCTTTTTCTCACAAGTCTTTTTACGTTAATCAAAGCTCTTTATGTAAAAAAATATTATTTTTTCCATTGAATTGTAAGTACAACCTTTATTTGTTAGTTTTATTTTTAATTTTATCCCTTTGGATTTAAAATTCTAGGTATTTTGATAAAATCGAGTTTATTTTATTTGAAGTTGAATAGTTTTGTAGTTGAAGATTTTCTTGTATCAGAATTGAATACTTTCATTTTAAATTAGATGATATTTTTTGCAAAAGTCGAGACTAACGCCTTATATTGTTTTGTCAACAACTTGACCTGAATGAAAAATGTTTAATCAATTTTCGAATACAGTCGACTCCGGTTATAACGAACTCAATGGGGCATTAAAATATCGTTCGTTATATCCGAAGTTCGCTACAAGCGAAGTAGCAGCAACATGCTGACTTGTTTGGATGGGGGAAATTTGCCGTGAAAAAGCCATACTATTCACTGGTTACCGGTGTAACCGGTATTTTACTGCAGCGGTTATTTAATGCGGGGCATTTTATTGAGCATTATTTTATGTACATGATACATGTATATATTCATGTATTAATTGTCAATAAAGTTCTTACCATTTGTTTTCTTTGTTTATTATCGTTTGGTTAATATTGCAAACACAAAAACAATCGATTTTTTGGCAATTATCGGATATTTACAGCAATCAACTGAGGGTGTGAAATACAAATTTTCCGTAACAAGTAGGAAATTATGTTGTGAGAACATTTTATCAAAATCTTTATTCACTGAAGCCATAACTAAGCTGTGCAATCATTTGAGTGTTTAATTATCGAGTAGCGTTATTCATGTACTGATCCTAATCGAGCGCATCCCGATATTTCAAGTATAACAGTTTGTTATAACCGAGGAAATTTAGATGTTTTCCGTCATTTGGGGCTTGATAAAATGGTTCGTTATAGTCGAAAATTCGTTATAAGCGAGTACGTATTAAGCGATGTGATTTAATATAAAATAAAGAAGGAATCGGCCGGGGATTTCAGATTTAGTTCGCTATTAACGATAATTCGTTATAAGCGAGTTCGTTATAGTGGAGTCGACTGTATTTCCTAAAGTAAAATAACAACAATCACCATATTAGCAAGAGCAGACGGCGTATGAAGATAACTCTTAAAAGAACGACCCGTATATCGAAAGAACAACCTGAATGACATACATTATAAACCAAACCTTCTTGCGATCGTTAACCTTCTATCTCAAGAATAGGCAACAATTCCGTCTTTGTTCGAAAACCGTTTTGATAAAAAAGGCCAAAGTGATCTTTACCTTTGACTTACTGACCTCAAAATAAAGGGTTCATCTACTGGCCATGACTAATCTCTAAACAAGTGCAGACATTCTTATTTATTGATCCGAAATGGTTATGTCAAAGTAGCGATCGACGGACCGACCATCCGACAGACATATGCAAGGCAAGTTTTCCCAACTTCTTCGTAAGGAGGGCATATCTAAAACATAGCTTGTGCTCTTGTATTTACAACACAATTCAATTGAAAGATCTGTTTGTTTCTTGTGCACATGACAAGATAATGTACGTTTAGCGCGTCCAACTAAGTATTTCACAAAATGATCCAGAAGATTGTTTTCGTTCAAATGAACAGTTGAAAATATCAAGTGGTTAGAACAACCTTAAATGGACGACTGGGTCAAATACCCATTGCATAGACTGATCTTATTCATCCTCCGGTACTCTCAAAACATTCTGCTCTATGTCCCAGAGGTAACTTTACCATGTTAAACAAGAACACTGAAAAGTAACTGCTGCCCCCTAAAGGAAGCTTTGACATAAGATCCGAACTGTGAAAAAATACAAGTGGTTAATAAAGATACTATGCAAACTAGACATTATGACAAACAATCCTGTGAAGTTTCCCTAAAATTCTCCAAGCAGTTTTGGAGATGAAGCTCAGACAAGCTTATTTTATTAAAACAACGATCATTAGGGGGCCATAACTGTGCCAAAATAATTAAGCGGAAAATCAAGATACTATGCAAAACAAGGCATGGTGACGAACAATCCTGAAAAGTTTCACTGAAATTCTCAACCCCCCCCCCCCCCTTCCCCGTTTAGGTTTTGGAGATGAAACGCTGAATAGCTTATTTTACTAAAACAAAATGACCATTAAGGGGCCATAACTGTGCAAAAAATTCAAGCGGGAAATCAAGATACTAAACACAACTATGCATGAGGTTTCTCTGAAATTCCCTCCAGCGGTTTTGGAAAAGAAGTGCTGACAATATTATCGGACGGATGGGCGGACGGACGTGCGATCGCATTGGGATATAGGGCCATTTCTTTTGTTGTTTCCTTTGTTAAATATAGGGCCATTGGACCCTTCCTCTATTGTTTCTTGTTCTCTTTTGTTCTGTTAACAGTTAGATGATCCTCTAACCCTATTTGGTAGTGCGGAAGTATGGACGGAAAGAAGGACAAACAGTGCGATTACTATCATTCGCCCTTTGGGGCTAAAAAGTAAAAAAGGCTGGCAATTGCATTTTCTCCGGCTATCAAGAACACTAACTGCATTGAAGGCCGTCATATCAAATAATCAAGCTACGCCAATTTTCTACAACCTTTCTGACCAATTTCAAGGATATGCGGGCTAAATTGTAACCTCTAAGGTGATAACAAAGTGTTTCCATGTTTTCTCTGTGTGAACTAAATTTTGACCATGGATGAGTCATTATTAAAGCTAAGCTAGAAATCATCAAAATAATGTTTCTGACAAATTTCAAGATATTTTGGATGAAAATAATGCCTCTAGAATATAATTTTTTCCATAATTAGGGTCATGTGATCTAGATTTGATGCCATATAACTCAAATTCAAACATTACCTAGAAACTACAGGTATCTAAACAACCTTTTTGACTCATTTTGACATAAAGAAAATCGATGACCAACGCGGCGGGGCAGATTTTGACCCCAGGACTTTAATTTTGACAATTTTGTAGAGTTTAATTAGATGATGCTACACACAAAACTATCTAAGCTTTAGGCCTTGCACTTTTAGAGAAAAAGATATGTTAAATTGTTACTATATGTTCATAAAGAAAATCAATGACCCAGCGGGCGGGGCCAATTTTGACCCAAGGGCTATAATTTTCATTAGATGATGCTACACACAAAATAACTAAGCTCTAGGCCTGGCACTTTCAGAAAAGAAAGATTTTTTTTTAAGTTTTTACTATATGTATATGAAAAGCAATGACGGGCGAGGCCAATTTTGACCCAAGGGCTATAATTTGAACAATCCCGGTAGAGGTCTACTGCAAAATGTTTCATGCCAAATATCTAACTTCATGCCTTTGTCAAAACAGAGAAGATTTTTTAAAGATTTTACTATATGTAAATAACGAAAATCAATGACCCCGGGTCGAGGTCACTTTTGACACCAGGGATATATTTTGGACATTCTTGAACCTCTAGCCTTTGTCAAAACAGAGAAAATGATTTTCAAATTTTAACTGTTCACAAATAAGGAAAATCAATGACCCTTTGGGGCAAGGCCAATTTTAACCAAACGGCTATAATTTGAATAAATTTGATCTAGGTCCACTACACAATGTTTCATACCAAATATCTAACCTCTTGCTTTTATCAAAACAGAGAATGAAGAAAAACTGAATCCCTAAAGAACAATCAAAACGACAAAATTGTAAATGTTGCAGGCTCGATTTGATTGAACCTATTTATGGACGGTACTGTAAAATGCCAGTAACCGTCCACGCATTCTAGCGACTTAAGCAGACTTCAACATTTAACATAAACTGGCAAATTTTTAAACATCCGCACAATATATCTAAGCTCTAGACCTTACTTACAGAGGAGTAGATTTTTAAGTTTTTTACTGTATGTACATAATTAAAATCAATGACCCCCGTTGTGAGGATAATTTTGACCCATTGGCTACAAGATTTTTAAAGATTTCATTATACAAATCTATTTTTAGCCCTTCTGACCCAGATTTTCAATAGAGCAGAAGCATTTGAACAATTTTAGTAGAACTTCATGCTGAAAATATCTTAGGGAATTTCATCAAAATTGGTCCAATGGTTTCTGAAAGAAGTCGTTTATATTAATAAGTTGACGACGGACGCACTGCTGGCAATGGACGCCGGGAATATTGTGATCACAAAAGCTCACCTTGAGCAAGTTGTGCTCAGGTAAGGTAATGATCATTTTCTGCCAATAAAAACCTAAGTAAGTTCGATGTAACTACTCAATTATTATACCGTGATGCAGAAAAAAAACATCGATCATCTTTATGAAAAAGTTGCCTAGAAACAGACTCGTATTCTTATCGACATTGGGATTTAGAGTCAAATAACACATTTTTTATGGTTTTATATCATAAATATGATGCTTAAATTAAGATTTATCAATATTGTAAGTTCCAAAAAGCATTATTTACAAAGATATTACCGAATTTAACATTTCATGTAAATAAAGGGAGGTTATTAGAAATTCATTTTCTATAAAGTCTAAGTCAAATTTTTAAATAAGAAATGATTGCATGTATTTTAATGATTACATAAAATGTGCACAAATATTAGCAGTACATAATTATTTTACACATTCTAAGCTACCAGGCGAAATATATGTTAGTGTTTCATGTTATTTGTAGTAAAGGGGAGAGTAGTAAGTGAGCATAGATTTATAATTATAATACGTGTCAAGTAACTAAAAATCAAACTCAAATCAAAAGAATTAAAGTAAAAATGTGATTAGCCCTAGATAAAAAACATAAACAATAAGGAAACTCCTCGAAACTCTGTTTTCCCTCTTAAAAATACGTGCTAAAGTTGAATGTACAATTTTTTTAAATGGATTTTCTTTTTTTTTAAATATAGACCTGTCACAAAAGGAAGAGGAGGTGTATGGGGGCCGGTTGTGGCCATTTCAAACCCGCGAGAAATTTGATCTCTTTTTTTAAAAAATGTCGCGGACAACTTACAAATCCGCCAGAGTGTTTGCCGAAATCGTACAAAATGTCGTGGGGAACGTATAAACCTCGATATTTGATAACAGTTGTTTGATACAGCAAGTAATATTTTGACTTCGGTGGCCGGTAGCGTCCATGGTGTGACTCTACATTTTATCCCTCGTTTATCTATAATAAATCGAGGAACAGAAAGAAATCCGCGACAATTTTTGAAGTAATTCTACAAGAAGTTGAGGGGAGAAATTAAAAGGCCGCGACTTTTTGTTCCTCAACAACGACTTTTCCATAAAAAGTCGCGGATAAAAAGTTGCGGATTTTTTACCTGCGACTTTTGTAAGAAATTCGCGACTTTTTACCCGCGACTTTTTTCGCAAAGACATTTCCAGGTACAAAAGGGGAGGCTGAATGCTCAAAGTCGATGTTTTACAAGGTATGCATCATAATAAAATATCGCGGATTATAATGGCCGCAATCGGCTACCTGAAGCGTATGTTTGCGTGGCTTATTCTATTGTGTAGACAGAAAATGTAAAACTCGACTTTTTATGACAGAAGTGTAACAGAAAAACTTAAGAATTTCTATAAGCCGCCATATTTTATACAATTTCGACATAACATCTCGCGGATTTAAAAGTTGCCCGCGACATTTAATAATCTGACGGTAAAATTTCTCGCGGCTTTAAAATGGACGCTATAAGCCACCATAGATGAAGACAAGGATTATAATGACAAGTATTTGATTCTTATGTAGGCTCGATTATATCGTATTTATCTGAAATATGTGATTATAGCAAATCAAAAGATATTGAACGCATCCGCTTGTAAAGATTTCAAATATTAAAAGAAATTTCAATATATACGGTTCACTCGACCGTTATCCATTGTATATATAATAATTGTTGGTGCAAATTAATAAATACTTAAATATAATTTAACGTTAAATATATGAATTAGGTTAATGTGACTATTTTAAATGTAAAAAATAACTGGGTGTCAAATGCTAAAGAAACGCTTGATAAATATGGTTTATCTGAATTCTTTTTTGAACACCATATGACAGAAGACTATTTAAACAAGGAATTTTCAATGATTATATACAAACGTGTCACTCGTCCGTAGCAAATAGTTCTGTTTTACATGTTATAAAAATGTAAAGAATTATATTAAAACGCGCACTATCTTAGTATATTACCTTTTATATTTTACATCACAAGAATAAAGATATATGCACACACGCACACACCAAGAGTCCAGACAGGCAGGTAAGGGCAAAAGGATTGCACGTAGTTTAATATATTGTATATGTTGTAGAACCATGGATTTAGAGGACGAATAACATTTTGTTTCTATATACCCATGCTATGTTACCAAAAGAAATAAAAATATGTTTATTAAACGATAATTTATTTATTACAGAGTTTTTATGTGTAAGTTAAATGAAAATATTCATTCCATCAACATAAATCTATTTATGAAATTAGCTGTATCTAGCTAAATATTTGAAAAAAAATCTTTTAAAAACTAAGAATGTGTTAGTAATAACAAATGAATTTTGATATTCTGTCACAAATTGATACTCAAAATTTAAAAGCATTATTGTACAAAATATGTTTATACTCTATCGAAATGCTTTATAATTGTCATTATTTTTCTTAAATCGTTGTTGTTCACTCTCAATCTATTCAATTTATAAATGAAACTCAATGCTTTATGAAATAAGAATGTTACAAAATAATCACAAAAGTTATCAGCCACACAAACATAATTGTTTACCATAAACCATCATGTCAGTATAAAGTTTACCTTCAAATATCAGCACTGAATTCAAAACATCTTGCTATATAATAAATAATGTCATACAATTTTACGTAGTTGAAAATAAATCCAAGTTAAAGTACGTACAATTACAAGACGGACGGTGTTATTTTCTTTAAATGTCCATTATTACATAAGTTACCTTGGATCAGTATACATAATGTCGCCAACATATGTGTACACAGTTCAGCGTCCAAATATAATTGTTGTATAATGGTATAAGGAAGACTTATATTATTCGCACTTGAGACATGAAACATAATCCTAACTTGAATGAAGCACCTCTTTCCTGTTCATCCTATCACAATTAAAGATCCTGTAACTCAATTTCTTTATGGTTTAATATAATTAATATGATGCACAAATGAAGATTTATTACTGTTGTAAGTTCCAAAGGGAGGTAATTAGAATTTTATATTTGCCAATGATTAAGGTGGCCTTAAGCTAATGGTTTCTGCTTGTCAACCATAAAGACTCAACATCTTCCAATTCTAAGTCAGGTCTTAATTCACATGGTATTGTAGACTTAACATATAACCTAACTCCACCACTATTTGATATCCTATCTAGTCGAAACAGTTGTGTTTTTAAACATATCTCCGAATCAGAAAAAACAGCAAAAAGAAAAGTTTCTTTTAGTCCTAGAATGTCTATATCTTGATATTTGTCTACCATGTTTTAACTAATCTATATGTGGATAAAGATAATGGATATTGATATTTAAAGCAGCACGCCTCCAGATTCATGTTTATTTTCATGAACATTTCAAAAATGTTTTAAAAAAGGAAAATATATTGTGAAGTCAACAAAGAAAATATTTTTACATTGCAAACAGCATAAACAGCCCATGTAAATGACCAAAAAGAGGATAAAATATGCAAAAATTAGCCATTACTGAGTTAGTAACGCAGTAGAAATATTGGAGAAAATACTGCAAAATTGGTCATAAATTGCTCATAACATAGAAATTATTACTTTTATCTTGAATCTTTTTACTTTTCTTAAAATCTCAGTACATTGTACTTTTTACTCAAGTTTTATTTTCTTAAAATAGTTTAGGTCTTCTGGAGGCGTGCAGCTTTAAATGCATAAAGATTATTCCTTTTTTATCAAATGTATTTTATCTAAAATGGGACTTGTATGTACTTTATCATTGTCTTCTGTCAGAGAAAGGTTATGTGATGATGTTCTATCAGTGACATTTTACTGTCTGTTTCGGTACAGTATTTTTTTGGCAGAATAATCAAGTTCAGTGTTTATTACCAGTGTGGCATTATCCAAGGTGTGCTGCGCCAGGGATTCTAGGCATCGCGATACGGGTTTCTCCGAAAATGTATCTGCGGGCTGTTGACGTGAAAATTTCCTTGTTTTCTGGATATGGGTACTTGATCTATTTCTGTGTACAATTTCTCGGTTGGTGTTGCCGAGGTTATCTCTAATTCTTGCATTTAGCTGTTTTCCCAGCATGAATGAGCCTTCTTTAATTAGATGTACATTATTATACAATAGACCTTGATTGAATTTCCAGTATATTTAATGGATCAAAACAGTAGTCACTAGAATGTTAACAAGATTTCTCTATTTTCTAGCTCCTGTGACCTAGTTTTTCATCTGAGACTACCTATATTCGAACTCATCCGAGCAATTACCTCGACAAGCGTCCTGACAATTGAGTGGAAATTGTGACCACTAGACTAGTAACCTAGTTTTCATTCGAGATGACCCATGTTCGATTTCATCCGAGTAATTACCTAGACCAGCATACTGACAATTTGATGATGATTGAGGCAAAAAAATGTAACCACTACTAGAGTGTTAACAAACTAATCTGGACGGACGACGGACATTCAACGAATCCTAAAAATTGACCCTTCAGATCAAGGTAATTCATAGGTTAAGTTCAAGCATAGTCACGTCTACTTGAAGGTTCTGTAAACAGATTCTTGTGCGAATGAAGGCAATCCATTAAGAAATAAATGAAATAAACTAAACTATGATCAACATTTAAAATTTAGGAATAACAATATTAACACCAGCATGACTGCTGCAATTGCTTCCTTTTTTAAGAGTCAAGGTCAAAATCTCCTGTATAAAGGATGAGAAACTTCTAAGAGAATTTAATTTCAAATAAACACAATGTATCACATCTTTCGATAATTTCCTAATAATGTTTTCCCTTAACTTATTTTTCTTGCCTATTGTCACTGTTTGCCAGAGTAATTGGAACTGACCTGTTTTCTGACAGATGGAAGTAGGGAGTGGAATAAAACAAGACGGCAAAAGATCACAACAAGCATCATTATTGTACAACTATACGATTTAATACTTAATAGCAAAAGAGGGTGTATTTAAATTTGAATCATGTTCAAACAACAACATAGCAACGCCAAATTTCTTCTCGTTTAGAGCACATGCTTTTTCGTTTACTTGTGGACCATACGCCGTGTCATATTGAAATTTGTCATATTGAAATTTTAATGATAACCGTCGTATGGTTAACATCTGCGGATGTTTATAAAATTCAAAATCTCACGATATTCGTGTTTTGATAGGAGCATGGACGGTAACTTGTTCTTTCCAGTACCATCCATGAACATGTCAATCACACCGAACCTGCAACATGCACAAATTTGCCGTTTTGGGCATTCTTTATAGAATGCTGGATTTTTCTATTTTAACACATTGCACGCGAGCCCTTTTTCGCTCATATCAGCAAATTATGAATTAATCAGGCACAGTTCTTTTTCATTTTCAAGTCACGTTTCCTTATGAGATGCCAATTATACTAACTATTTCACTTGCGGTGTATCTTTTATCGGTATTAATCATTTCTTTCACGTTAGCAACCATCTTGACAGACGGTTTTTTTTTTCAGACCGATGAGCATGGGGTGCATCTTCAGTCAAAATTAACCAACATTTGAATTAATTTAACCAACGAATAACTGGTGAGCAAAAGACATTACATTTTTAAGTGTTTGCAGACCATCATTAGATATAGATACCCTGCTGCTAAATTGTTTGGTAGAACTTGAGCTATTCTTTTCGGGACTTGTGTAAAATTTAATGTAGGTCCACACTAATTTCTTTTGTAAAAAAATTAAGATCATTCCTATGCTTTCCAAAAACAAATAGTTTTATTGTATAAAATAACCCATCACACATTCAACACAAACAGAATTATATTCAAAGTGCTTAAAAGCTGAAAAATTGGCGGAAGCACGCTTTGCAGTTGCTTTGATAAATATAAACAATATCATTTTAATCTTTCAGAAAATATCCCACGGTTCTAAAAGGCAAGAAATATACTTATCAGGGAAAGACACAGCGCCAAGCACCTGAGACAAGGAGGAATTTTAAGGATATATTGCTATTTCCTTTCAAGAAAATGGTATAGGTAGACGTTTTTGCCATTGAAATTTACAACGTTAAATCTGGAAAAGATTCTTATAAATTGAGCAGAACTCTTGTCCCAAATAGTAAGGAGTTCTATAAATGTTTATGCATTCATCAGAAGGTGCAATTTATAGGTTAAGAAGGACTTGTTTGAAATATAGAATAACTTGCAATTATCACAGAAAATATTATTCACTATAATGCGTTATATTATAGAAACTTTTCTAGCATGACCCTAGTCAAAATAAATTATTAAATAAAAATACTGTTTCAGGGCAAGTTTAAAAGTAGGAAAGGTTTTAGTTTGAGTATTACTCGTAATGGATAACCCAAAAAAAGCAAATGATTTTGATCCAAATTTATTTTCGTCAGGAACCCTCTGTTTCAAATCAAGAATGACATTATCTGCTATACGCGTTGTCAACAGGTAAACATTAACATATATATCCTGAAATGGTTCGTACCTACAGAGCTGATCAAATTTAAATGCACTATTTTTTTTCTACCTTCTCTGTGTATGTCAATTGTACATTTTGATAGAAATGTTGCCACGTAATACATGTATCATTTATTCTCGAAAAGCAATAACATGTACCATTTTGTTTCTTTAGGGTCATCATTAGTGATTAGAACGGATGCGATAAAACAAATAATTAATTACTTATTATTAAAATCATCATTAATTTTATTAAAAAATAAAGTATAAGATACAGTGTATAATAGAAATATGTTAGAATAAATGTAATTTACAAATAACTATATTTATTTTAGCTAGGTCATCCCAATAAATATACCTATGTATTCATTATTTTAACATGATCAAAAAGAATGACGGCCCTGAGATGTTTTTTTTAAGATGATGTGTTATGTGTCAATTAATTTCTCTATAAATTGTTAAATGATTATTTTTTCCATTCCTGTTGGCTTTGACCTGTCTCTTGCAGTTCCTGTTTAGTCTTCGAAGATCCATTGGAGGATTTCATGGAAAATATAGTTTGATGGGTTTCTTTACAAGATTTTTTATCATAAGGAAGGTCAAAAGTTTGTTTCACAAGTGCGTACTTTGACAAACTGAAGGGTTTTGTAAATTTATAAGTACAGATATGGAGTTTTAGTTATTTGTTTCATACAGGCATACTACTTTCTTTTGTTTTTAATCGGACGAGTTTTATTATACAGTTATTTCATATGCGATTTGGGAACAGTCAAACTGTTGGCCCGAGGTGGAGGGGATAGTGTTTTGTACTGTTGCCCAAGGACGTAGGCCGATGTCAACAGTTGAAAACACTATCCCCGACATTGAGATACAACTGTTCGACTGTTCCAAAATAACATGAAATAACTATTTTATTACATGATCAATTACTGTTTCAACGGTACTTACAGCAGAAAAATGGAACAAGAAAATAGTTTTCCAAATATGTTAACGCTTCAAGGGGGAATCCTCTATGACGTCAGGGCAACAGTCCAAACTATTGACCGGTCAACAGTTCGTGAACGTTGACGCTTTTAGAATTTCAGAAAACAGTAAAAAATACCAATTACATTTATATAAGGTATAATGAGTCCACGTTCGCGAACTGTTGACCGGTCAATAGTTTCAGTTTCGCCTGTTGCCCTCGCGTGCTCTGACATCATAGAGGATTTCCCTTTAAGCGTTAACATATTTACAAAACTATTTTCTTGTTTCTTTTTTCTTCTGCAAGATCTGTTAAAACAGATATTGATCAGTTAATAAAACAGTTATTTCATATGTGATTTGGGAACAGCCAAACAACTTCCCTCGGTGTCGTGGATAGTGTTTTGAACTGTTGCCTACGGCCTTGGGCATTTATCATGATATAATATAAACTCCTGGCGTAACTTAAGAGACAGAAACGCATTATTTAGAGGATAAAA